TAGCATTCTTGCTCTTCGTTGGCACGGCCCAAGCAAACTTTGAAAATATGTCGATGACGGTGAGCAGGTACTTGTATCCACCGTTCTCTCTTGCGTACGCCGACATGTCAACGAGATCCGCTTGCCAAGTCTCATCCAGCCCACGGATATCAACGTGTCGACGCTGATAATTTCTTCTAGCAGGTCTACGCAGTTCATGCACCACCGCTAACTTTTTTCCATCCATTCTGCAGTGCATTCAGTCTGGCGTCTAGCTGAGAAATGATCTCGGAGTTGCGAATTGTCAAGTCTTGCGCTGTCTTTATATCTGCTTCTAGACGATTCAAGGCATCCTTCACGGTAGAATCGAGAGCGCGAATCATTAGGTTGTTGTTATCGATTTCATTGCGCATTTCAGCAGTCTTACGAAGTACGGTATCAATTTCCTGCTTTAGCACAGTTTTCATGAGATTCAAAGTAACAGCATATAAAGTAAACAGTAAATCGTTCAGTCGGAACTGTTTCACGATAGGGTGAGGATATGATTATGCATGTTAAACGTAAATGCATGGGAAAAAAAGAAGCGCCATAGTGGTAAAGGCTTAGTCAACAAAATCATCAACGGTCTACCAGTTGAATTACATATACCTGGCTATCAATACTGTGGACCCGGTACAAAACTAGCGAAAAGACTCGCACGAGGTGTTTTGTGTATCAATCCCCTCGACGCAGCTTGGAAAGAGCACGATATTGCGTACTCGAAGAATCGGGAAAACCTAGAACATAGAGGGGCAGCTGACGGAATACTTGCCAACAAAGCTTGGAAACGTGTCTCCGGGAAGGACGTGAACATCGGTGAGAAGGCAGCTGCCTGGTCTGTAGCGAACATAATGAACGCTAAATCAAAACTCGGTATGGGTATCACGAAAAAGAAGAAGAGTCTACCAGTTGAATTACATATACCTGGCTATCAATACTGTGGACCCGGTACAAAACTAGCGAAAAGACTCGCACGAGGTGTTTTGTGTATCAATCCCCTCGACGCAGCTTGGAAAGAGCACGATATTGCGTACTCGAAGAATCGGGAAAACCTAGAACATAGAGGGGCAGCTGACGGAATACTTGCCAACAAAGCTTGGAAACGTGTCTGCGCGAAGGACGCGAGCATCGGCGAGAAGGTAGCTGCGTGGTCTGTAGCGAACATAATGAACACTAAATCAAAACTCGGTATGGGTATCACGAAAAAGAAGAAGAACCCTAAGAAAAAGATAACGCTGAAAAAAGTTATCGAAGCAGCCAAACGATTGATGACACAAAGCAAGGATGCACAGGCAGTAATTCAGTCTGCTCTTAAGGGTGCGCAAACAGTTGTGAAGCAGGCTGGGGAAAGAAGAATATACGTGCACCACGTGTTCTACCCGTACCATCCAAAGTTGGAGGTTTTCTGCCGTTTCTCGTCCCTATGTTTGCGGGTCTGAGCGCTGCTGAAGCGTTAGCAGGAGGTGCAGCAGGTATAGCCAAAGCCGTGAACGATGCCAAGGCAACCAAGGAACAATTGAAGGAAAGCCAACGACATAAGAATGCGATGGAATCCATCGCGCTAGGCAAAGGACTACACTTGAAACCCTACAAGAAGGGACTGGGTATTCATCTAAAGCCAAAAAACTTGAAGTGAAACTACCACGTTGAGCGTTAACTGATGCAGATCTGCTTACGTACGCCAGGCTCATGAATATGCGCCATTTTCGTGGAATTTTTATGCGGAATGCTATGCCAAAAGGTGGATCGTACAAATACGAATCGGCAATCGTCAATCTCGACGATGAGGACG